TCACTGCTCTATGGTCTGAGAAGCTGCATGGTATAGTTCATTTTTTTGAACTTGTGAGGCTCCCTTATGGCCTAGTATATGGTCAATCCTAGAGAATGTTCCATGTACTGGGGAGAAATACGTGAACTCTGTGTCTGTGGGGTGGAGGGTTCTGAAGATCTATTAGGTCTATTTGGTCCATGGCGCCAATTAGCTCAGTTGTTTCCTTGTTGAATTTCTGTCTGGTTGATCTGTCCATTGGTGAGAGTGGGGTGTTGAAGTCCCCTGTAGCTATTGTATTTGAGTCTATATCTCCCTTTAAATCCTTTAGTAATTCTTTCAGGTGCCAGGTGCCCTGTAATTAGGTGCGTATACATTTATAATAGTAATATCTTCCTGTTGGATAGATCCTTTAATCATTATATAGTGCCCTTCTCTGTCTCTTTTAATAGTTTTTATGTTAAAGTCTATTTTGTCTGATATTAGGATGGCCACACCAGCTCTTTTTTGATTTCCATTAGCTTGGAGTATCTTTTTCCATCCTTTCACTTTCAGTCTGCGTGCATCTTTGCTGATGAGGCGTGTCTCCTGAAGGCAGCATATAGTTGGATCCTCTTGTTTTATCCAATCCGCTAGTCTGTGCCTCTTTGTCGTGGAATTAAGACCATTCACATTCAATGTGATTATGTTAAGTACTGTCTTTTTCCCTTCATGTTTCCTGAAACGAGCTGTTTATGTATTTTGAACTTTGTTTGTGGGTTACTCTACATTCGCTTATTTTTGCAGTGAAGTTCTTGTTTTTGTATTTCTGTGTGCAGCACGTCTTTGAGCAAGTGTTGTAGGGTTGGACGCAAGGATACAAATTCTTTCAGTTTCTGTTTGTCGTGGAAGATCTTTATTTCCTCTTCATTCATAAATGATAGCTTTGCAGGATGTAGTATTCTAGGTTGGCATTGTTTGTCTTTTAAAACTTGAAATATATCATGCCATTGTCTCCTTGCCTGTAGTGTTTGCAATGAGAAGTCTGGGGTGAGTCTGATTGACTTACCCCTGAATGTGATTTGTCGCTTTTCTCTGGCACATTTTATGATTTGTTCTTTGTGTGTCACTGAACTGAGTGTTGCCACAATGTGTCGTGGTGAATTTCTCTTCTGGTCTACTCTGTTTGGAGTCCTGGCTATCTGTTGTATTTGTGTGTTGTTATCCAGCTGCCTTTGTTTAAAGTTTTCTGATATTATTTCATTGAAGACACCTTCCAATCCATTCTCTCTTTCCACCCCCTCAGGGACTCCTAATATCTGAACATTACAACATTTGATTGAATCTTGTAGGTCTCCGACCATGTTTTTTAATTTTTTAATTTCTTCTTCCTGCGATTGAACTGACTGTATTATTTCTGGAAGTTTGTCTTTGAATTCTGATATTTGGTCTTCTATTTCATCTGTTCGATTTTCGAGGGATTCCACGG